TTAATCGTAGGCTTCAAAGTGTAAAGTAAATATGCGTATGATATTTATGATGTTCCCGTATTTTCTAAACGCGTAACTGTATCGCCTATTTGATGAAATAACATCATATATAGGAGTATTATTATTCACGGTATACATCATAAAAATTGTTTTTATTATCACGAAGTTATTAATACTGTTTAAAAAAATAATCTTATAACAATGTTCACACTATTTTTTGACAAATTAAATATTCATTTTTAGAAATGAACTTTGGTATAATTCATCAGTCTGTGCTACAAAAGTAACTTTTTTTAAAATTCAGATGTTAAATAACGAAGGCAAGTCAATAAATCGTATTAAGTCGTGTGTTTACACCTGTGTTGAGCCATTAACTTCCTAAAATGACGGTTTTAGTCGGAGTAGAAGATATGTCTCTCATTGCCTTAACATCTTGGTCTGCAGACAGCAGGTCACGAGTTCGACTTCTAATCCACCTAATTCAGCCTACGCAGCTAAGTAGCATAATTGCCCCCCCCCCACAGGATAAGTTTGGCTCTTAGCCCCTGGTATATGAAAAATCTGTTCCGTATATGTGAGTTCAAGCAGGGGTAGGATTATGTTAGAAAAGAGTTGAGTGATTTTATTTAGATCAGAATATGGTTCCTGTTAACTAAGTTTTCAGTGAAGTGATTTGTTGGATGGTGATTAGCTGTGGAATCCAGGACGTGTATTCTGTTCTAATTGAGACTGGTCAGCTGGATGATATTCCTGCTAGCAGTCGAACCCATCACCCATTGACTGAAACGCCATAATGTTATCCACAAGACTATGAGAACCACCATCTATGCAGAGAGTAAAAATCCAACATAATCAATCAGCTGAAACAATAATAACTTATATCCATTGCAAAATTTAATGGTTGATGTCTACCTTCCATACTAGGAGTCGAAATGTAAAAAGAAGCCCGACATTTCCATTCAATCAATCAACGGAAAATCGAAGTCAACTTAAAAAAATAATAATCAAGTGTTGGTTTGTAGGAATTGGTTTCAGGATTTCATCATGAACTGACATCGGTTTAAGGATCGTTGGATCAGGACCCAGTAGTGGCTTTAATGGTCTACGAGCTCGCTGGCCTTGTAACTAGAAGGTCCTGGGTTCGAAACTCAGTGGGTGCGTACTGTTGAAGAGTCCAAAACTAGGACAAAACGACTGTCCAGTACCCCCTTTAGGTTTTCCATTGGTTCTCTAACCTATGTCAGTTCATGATGAAATCCTTAAAAAATAAGTCTTCAGTGGTTGATATTTGATATGTAGAAAAGTGTATATTATTGACTGTCTGAGTTCCTATGGCTAAAGAAGTGTAGTGTTATTGCCCAGCATAACTTAAAACAGTGTCTCTGACATTCTGAATGTTTCCAGTTATCTTCATTTAACTATTCTGTCACCTATCGTATTCAATTTTTATTTATTGTTGTAGTCCAACTGTCTAATTTTTCTTACATGTGTTGCATTCTGAAGCGTCAAAATTTTAATTAATTCATTTCCATATTAGAATTCTAATGTTGATTTGTCTATCTTCATTATTGCGATAGTTTATACAGAAATAAGCGTCAGAGTATTTTAAACTCAAATTTTGAAACAGACCAAGGAAAGAGGCTTCACCAATTATCATGAATTTGCGCCAAATAGTTAACTGATAAGATGATTCTGTTGGACCCTCGCCACTTTTTGTGTGTGTGTGTATGTGTGCAGAACCACTCAAGACCTACTTTTTTTCTGTTAAACTTAATCAAAAGGTGTACGCTATAAGCGTACAGTTTTGTGGACTATGGTTATATGTGTGACGGACCGGGTTCACTTTTTCAGGATCTTATATCTAATCTGTCAAATCCAATAATTCATAACCATAGTTATTTTGATGACACGTGTGTATACTGATAATGCATTAGGAAAGTACATAATTCCATATTAGTTTGTTTATTAGATATATCACATAGTGAAACAGTATTATTTACTGAATGACGAAGTTTCGAACACAATTTATTCTTCATAACCATATCAATTGTAACCAAATCACTTTGACACTTTCTTTTTATAGTTCTCTTTATTCTCTCCTATTTGTCGTAGGGATAGTAGAATTTTCCAGATGGTCGGGATAGGTATTCAGTCATTCCTATTATACGTATTTCCAGGTGACTCAATAAATAAAGCTTCCGTTATCTATCACTCCCTTCACCTTGTTACATTAGATTTTAAAACTGTCATCCTATCCCATCTTGTTGTATGGTTGTGTGTAATTGCATGTGGTGCTATAACTGAGCTATTCTTCAGATTCTTCTCCTTATTAGTGTCTACTAATCTAGATTTTGCTAAGTTTTTATGCTCCGCCAGTCTGACTGACCCTGTTCCACTACTTTGACCTATGTGTTTCACCTGAAAATCATTGCAGGGTATTAGACAGACCAGATCGTTTTGTTTAGTTGGCTGCACAGGACCCTTTAACAGATGAAGTTTGTTTCTAGACGAGTTTGTGGGTTTGAATGCCACTTTTATTTCTGCCTGTATTGTTAAGAATTCTCCTTAAGGTTTCCGAGGTTCCTTGCTTGTATAGAAGTATCACTCATGATTTAAATTCTTTATTGTTAGTGTTGTCATTATCCTGTGCATGTTTGACATGCATATCGTCATTGTTACTATTATTATTATTATCAGTATTCCTGGCATTATTATTATTAATTTAATTTTTACATTTTCCTACATACTTCCTGATTCACTTATCAGGGCAATCGTTACGTTCTAAAGCTTCTCTTATATGCCTCATTTCCTGTCCTAGATTTTCCTTGATACTACTTAGTTTTTGTGCTCTATTACTTAAACATTTCACCAATCCTACCTCCATGACAAATAGGAAAGAATAAAGAAAACTATAAAAATCAAGTTTCGAAGTTGTATGATTATAATTGATTTGATTATGAACAGTAATAAATTGTTTTCGAAACTTTGTCATCCAGTAAAGAAAACTGTTTCACTGTGTTGCTGATATATCTAATAAACAAACTAATATGAATTTATATACTACCACAGTGCCCATGTTTTAAAACATATATTAGTAAAGTATACAGTTTTACATTGAAAGACTATAAAGGTCACGTGAAAACCCCGCATATTTTTCATTCGAGGTAAACAGTTAACCCACAGTTTCAGATAAGGGTCACATAAGTTTATCACTAATTATTTCAATTATTCTGTAAATAGAATAGGACGAACTTATTTCTAACCTGGTTAACATGTTTTCGATAAAATTTATCAACGGAAGCTATTATAATTGGTTTTAGAATGGATGTATGCTTGGTACCAGTATCAATACGATAGGGAGTATAATTGTATTAAGCAGTATCCTTTTTCACAAATACATGACCTATAATCAGTCTTTCTAGATAACAGCGACTGTAAGCTTTTAAACTATACCTTGTAAAATATGGAGACTGTTTATGCTCTAATGAGTTGTTGCCTAAGCTGAAGTTTCTGTTGTTAAATATTTCACTGTCATGTCAGATATTGGAACTTGATATATTACCTAATGTTACATTGGTATAATCACTGAACATAAGCTTCTGTTACACATTACTAAATATTCAGTACATTTTTTTTGCATCTCTACTGATATTCCCAAAACCGACCTGTTGTGGTCTGGACTCAGCGAACCGATCTTTGTGTTCTACTGCATAGTTGGTCGAAACTTCTTTGAGCAGCACAGTGACAAAACGCTCAAAAGATAGCAATAGAACGATTATTCGTCGATAGATCCATGGTTCTATTCAACAATAATAACATCAAAAACTCATAATTACCTGAACAATGTTGTTAAGTGGCTAAACAGACAAGCCAACTTTCCAATTACTAAACAAGTACTGTAGAATAAAGCTAGTTAACCGAATTTCAACTGTAAGAAGTACCTTAGAATCAAGTAAACTATTCCCAACAAGGTGGGATCAAAAACTCTGTCAGCAAGAATCACACACCAACAATTCCGTCAGACAATTCAATGTTAGAATGACCTTGATTTACCCAAAAATGAAGTCACAGCACAAAACTACACACTGTCAACGTATTGCGTATAACCAGTACTCCCTGGCTTTCAATGGTTCTCTAACTGATATCAGTCCGTCATCAACTCGTAAAAACAAAACTAACCCTTACAAACAAAACTATAGAAAATTAATCTGATGATCGCTAGTGACTTGCTACAGGATGGAGTTTCCTGGAGTTCTAGTGAGAAGTCGTGACCAGTGAGGTCCAATTAGATGTCACATGTGAGGATGGATGTCCCACCAACGACAATGGTTGGGGTCGCGCTAAATCACGAATTGGTAGTAGTTAGAATTCATGAGCGATTGAATCGGGTCCCAGTGGCTGAATGGTATACGAGCTTGCCTTGTAACCGGAAGGTCCTGGGTTCGAATCCCAGTGGGTGCGTACTGCCGATGATTCCCAAACTAGGATGAAACAGCAGCTGTCCAGTACTCCCTGGTTTTCAATGGTTCTCTAACTGATTTCAGTCCGTGATCAACTCGTAGAAATATAAAAGTTAGAGATTAAACAAGCAACAAAGAGAAATAATAAGGATCAAGTCAACATATGATATGCAGTCTAGGAGGAAAATGGATAATAATTAAGGAAGTTAGCTGATACACCCAAATAAGTTTTGATATTGTGATCCAGATCATTCAGGAGGGATTTTCCAAACTTTTATCCTGTTACTAAGTGTATGTTGATTAGATGCGTCCTAATAGTTGAATGTAGATGTGTTGTGGTGTTATAACTCAGAATAGTTTATAACTTCAAAAATCTACTATTCGTTGGCTTACAAAGTCAACAATTTGACCGTTTATATTAAATATGTTAAGTTATTGTCACTGTTTTAAAAAATTTTTAATTTGAAGTTTCCTTTTTTTCTTTACATGTTTTTATTTTTGTTTTTCACCTTTAATTTCAAACATATTTCATTATTTCAGGAGTTCCTAAACGCAGAGATGGGTCTTAATCTACGCGTAATGGATAGTGTTCGTATGAAGTTGACTATTAATGAAATTGATGATTTACTGCACAGTTTTCGTAAACTTGATCATGATACTAAAGGTTACATTTCATTGAATGATTTACGCAAATTTTGTACTGTAAGTATTGTCCTCATTATGCTGATATTTTACGGGTTATTTTTTTGTTGTTAAAAATAATGTTTAAAAGTTTTGTTCAAATGAACAACTGACATTAATTTTTATCACAAGTAGGTGTCATTTTAGAGAAAAAAATACTCGAATAGTTGAAAGAAGCGATTACTTCACATACATAAGAAAGAACAAGAAACTGACTGTTTAAATAAGATTCAATGGCCTTTTAGGTCATACTGTCAAGTTTCTGTAGATTCAAAGGACACCTATTTTTTTTACCTAAATGTAATTACAGCATAGTAATATATACATATTTAGAAAGTAGGTCAAACACGTACTTCATTGAATTCGGCATAAATTGGAGATAGTGAGTCTGTCTGAAGTAGCATTGGTTTGATAGATTGTTATTGACATAATTGGTGATGACCGCGTAGATGGTTCGGACTCAATTCCCAGCCAACGCACTCCTAAACCTCACCTGCTTTACTAGCCGGTTGTAAGTCTATAAAACAGAGGGAAGTCTGAACGTGAGGCTTTCAACCTCACCCTTTAAAAAAACTACCATGATGAGTGGAACTCCAGGGCCTGGAGTCATAAGTTCAAATCAGAAAAAAATGGAAGGCAACGAAACGAAAACGTAGTTGAAATAAAAATATAGGTCATGGCTAAATCCGAACCACAGACCTCAGAACTACTAGTCTGTCAATCTACCAGCTGAATTAGGCACTGTAATGTACACGAGTCATATAAGTGAATCATACGTCACTATCTATTTATTACCTTACTAGATGCTAAGCGAAGTAGTAAAATAGATATAGCACACAAGCCAGTCAAATCACCTAATTCGATATTATGCCAACCGAAAGATCCAACAGAAAAAGGAGATAAAATTAATACCATTTACAAAATAAACTGTATGAACTGTAACAGACATTACATCGGCCAAAGTGGGCGTCCCCTTCGAATCAGAATCCAGGAACACAAATCAGCTGTGAAAAGACATGATATATATTCTTTCATATCAATGCATATAGATAATTATGGACATCAGTTTGATTGGGATAATGTCGAAATTTTAGACAGAGGAAACACCAAAAATGCCAGGGAATTCCTAGAAGCCTGGTACTCAAACGAAAATGCAATTAACAAACATGTTAATATAGACCAAATATACCAACTAATAAAAAGTAAATCATGTGACCAGAAAGTTTAAAATCCAAGTCAATAGAAAATGATCAATACATATGTAAAGATGGTTACCGGGAGACGCAATTCCATCACTCATGGAAAATTTAAATCAGTTCACTTTATGCTAAAAATTGCGCTGAAGGGGAATGTTGTCCAGAAGGACGACGAAAGCTCCGCAACTAAACCAACCAGCTCAGAGAACACTATTAATTGCGAAGTATTCTCCTGTCAGTTTTAATCATACTATTTCAGGTATTTTCACCACGTATTCATCTGCTCACCTAGTTTACTAACTGATCCTAAGCGCAGATAAAGGGGGAAGGTTTGACGTGGCGCTATCCACCCTACCCTGGAAAATCAACCCAATTGCTGCAGAAACATCGATCCACAGAGAAAAATATGAACACATTCTTCGCTGGAATCGGAACGACGGAAAGATGTGAACTGATGAAAGCCTTTAGGAAGTCAGTCATCTGATGTGTCTTCTTTCTATGAAAGCAGAAATAAGCATGGTGACGTGGAATGTTTGAAGGTTGGAAGGCTACTCAGATTACCAAAGTACCAAAGATGCGGTACAGAAGTGTTAGGAATGTGTGGGAGTAGATGAAATAGAAGTGAACTATCTAAGTTGTTAACTGGAAAGGCGATAATCTACTCCCATCACCCAGACGACAATCACTAGCGGACTGAGTGAGTAACTATCATGACGTCACCAACAGCTGTTACATAGTGAAAACAATATGCAGTAGTTAACTCATATAACTTTAAGTAATCAAATTGAAAAAATAGCTAATATACTAGACTCATCTTATGTAAGATTCCCGAAATGAATGTATGAAGTCTGTTGCGATTTACACACAGCTTCTATGTCAAATGCTTCTAGTTGTAATGTCGACAAACTAACCAGGGAGTGATTGAAAACAAATTTATTAAGATCATTGGGAGGCTTTCTATAGACTCTGATGAGTTTAAGGTTTTTGTTCATGTTTGAATGAACATTCTTAGCTCGTTTGTCCTGCCCCAATAGCAACGTATTCATTAAACACTTGTCTTTCACTTGATGCTAATTCTCATAGAACAGAGGAGCTTTGTGATACGTTTCGCCTCAGCTCGAATATACATGAACTAATAAAACTATTGAGGTGTGGCGTTGAAGAGTTTTTGAATTGGGATACATATCATGCCTCCGAATGCTTTCCAAAATCACTTTGGATATTCATGATTTATAATGCAATCTTCCAAGAAGTTAGCTTCTCCATTCTCTTCAGCAAGTTTGATAGAATAATACAGGACACCCATTGAGTTCCTTCACTGTTGAGGGGTCTTTAAACTTTTACAAATCGTGGAAAATACCTATCAGGACATTAGAGAGAAAAGAATGAATGAATGAATAACCACTTTGTGACAACCATTGGTAATCTCCATGTAGTATTAAACTTTAAGTTAATTGGTGGATGGTGACTTGCAGTGGAATCCAGGGCAACGCGCATTTCGCCTTATTTAGGACTCATCACCGGGTGTACCTGCATTCTCTAGTAAGTGATGGTGTTCCCACGGAGGCTCGAACCCAGTGACCACAGTTTCAAACGACAAAGCCTTATCCACTAAACCACTTGGGCCACAAGAGCTACTTCTTGTGCAGTTTTAGATTTTCCCGTCGATTGATTGGACCGAAGTGCTCGGTGTCATGTTTGAATTAAATATATTAAACGTGGTTTATTTTCTCCCAAGTGTTGATCACACTTTTAAACAACAATTATTTTACTTGTTATACTATACTATAGGAATCTGGTGAGCAAATCAGTGAAGAGATACTGCAGTCCACTTTGAATACAATGGATCTTAATAAAAATGGACAAGTTGATATGGCAGAATTTTTACATGTATGTTCCATTTTTTTATTTCTTTTTGGTTTTGATTATATATATTTATGGATTATTAAAATGTTAGTGTGTGTGTGTGTGCCAAGCCTTACCTTGCTATTCAAGTATAGAAATCAACAGAAGTGTATCTCAATATTAGCCTCATAAAGTCAATATAGAATATCATTCTTCTTTTTCACTGAAGGATTTATTAGATCTAATAAAAAGTTACACAGGTAAAATGATATGTAACCCATTTTGGACTGATTTTTGACAAGGTGTAAGGTAGAGTTTATGAAAGTGTTGATCACATCGAAGAGACGTCTAATCATGGCCCCGCTCTCACCCAGTAGTTTGACTGACTGACTAGTTTCAACGTGGAACTTTGCACCGATGTGCGGCAGTTCGAGTCGCCACACTTCACTTAGCACACAAAGCAAGAGAAGAAGAAGAAGAAAGTAAAAAGAGATTCGAAACAGCGATGATAAACAGAGATATGAGGCAAAAGAATAGTAATAAGGAAGAACAATATAGTTTTATTGGATATTATAAGTCACAAAGAGTGAATGCATCTGTGCCATTGAGAACGAGGATTTTGAACCATATCACCAATTGTCTCCCGCCGTCATTGGTTTTTACCGTCCTGAGGACCACAACCAGGAAGTCTACACCTTCCTACGTGGCTTACCCAGTCAACTGAATTCATCATTTGTTTTCTCTACTACGAAAATCACCCTAGAGACAGTATTTTTGAATATAATCAGCATTGTACAATCGATGATAAGGCATAATAAAGTCGTTTACTAATCCTTCATACTTTTACTCTCTCTCTCTCTTCCATTCATATTTTCCCTTTGTAGTATAACTGTTTCCGTAAATCTGAAGTGGTATACTTCTGTGCAGATTTCTACATATCACTGTTGTGGTTATCGATTGTTGTATAATATTATAAAGTGAATTAAGTTTCGGTAAAACTTAAGAAATGACAAACTGTCAGTTGCAGCTATTAAATGAGGTCAAAAACAACCCGATGAATGCCTTATTCTACTCTTTCGCTTCGTATTTCACTAATCCGCTTCTGAAAAGTATGGCGATAAACCTATGGAAGAAGTTTATATCACTGAATAAGTATACCATTTCTGATAAGTTAAAAGACATTGATTTACTGGAAATAAATCAGCAGTTATTGAAAACCAGAATCATAAACTACCAGTGATAAGGGGCTGTTGTGGTTTTAGAAGATGAAGAATGTAAGTGTATATCCTCCAATTCTCAAAGACCAAAGAACTATTCGTATACCAAATTAATATAGCAAATTGATTGTCCAAAGTACGAAATATACTTTAGGTCTAGAAGTGTAAAGCGGCGATGTCTGTTTAGCGTAACCAGTTAGAGTGTGTGCTTCAACAGTCAAAACTGTAATACGACAGCGTGACAAATTGGCGTGGATGCCTGCTGGCTCATCTTCAGCTTAATCAGTCGACTTAAACGGTGAATGAAGATCAGCACCTATTGTTGGAGGGGGAGGGTGGAGATCTATAGAGGCCCATTCAATCAGTCTTAGACCGTATAAAAGTGGCAGTAATTTTTTTCTCTTCATAGTATTCGCGTGGTTAACATGATGCTCAGAATGGCTTACACAATGCATAAGTATAACATTCAGAGTTTTTGATGTAGTTGTGTTCTCTGGGCTGGATGATTGACTTGTGAAGCTTACATTGCACAACATTCTCAGTGCATATTTCAGTGTGAAGTGAGCTTTATAATTCTGCACGGGTTTATCAGTCCTATCTCCTGGTAACCTTGAACGTGATTGATTCCTCTTGTCTGTCTTTCCACACTAGTCTATTTGTATCGGCACTGCTTGTTTCCATGATTCGGAATCAATAGTAATACAAATAGACTAGAATGGGTGAAGACAGACAAGGGGAATTAATCACATTCAAGGTCACCAGGAGAGATGACTGATAAACTCTTGCAGAATTTTAAAGCTCACTTCAAACTGAAGTATGCGCTAAAGATATTGCCTAGTGGGGCAATAAAAGCTTCGTAATTCAATCATCCAGCTCAGGGAACGCAACTACGTCAACATCATCAACCTGATCTGCAAATCTTCTCAATTATGTCTAAACATTCTCAGCAAACAGTACTAGCTGTTGAACAGGCTAAAAATGTTAGAAACTTAACACATTTCTAAATTATTGTATCCTTTTTAGACATATTCTTACTTCTTCATTAGGATGTTCATCACTTTCAAAGGACATCTATAATGACATGACAAAACAGTTTAGATTTGCAATTACTTCCCTCTTATTGCCTAATTTATATTTCACACGTAGATTATGCATTGTAGAAAAAGTATAAATTTGATAATATAAAAGATTAGCATTTGTACTTATACATACAGTGATTCGTACTCTTAAGAAGAATTGCTATAACCTGTCAATGCTAGTTGTGTCAGTAGCGAAACATAAAGCTATGTTATAAAGATTTGTATTGATTAATGTGAGAATTCACTACTCCTGTATTTCTGAATATATCTCAACAATGATCAGCATATATATTTTCTAAATATATTACATTTGAATTCCTGTGGAACTCTAGTATTTTTCATGTTCCCAGTTGATTTTGGTTTTTCCATTTATCCTTTATTCTGCTTTAATAAATACCTCTCCTGAATGTAACAACTTGAACTGATGACATTTTTGAGTACTGTTCCAAGTTAGTAAGTAAGTAAGCCAGCTACTTCTATTTTGTGACGTAACCAAGGTCACCCTAACTATTATAAGAGTTCTTACATTTCCCAATATATGAAAAACAAAACGATATTGTAGGATCTTGTCCATGCAATGAAATAGTGGCACCTGCTGACGGACAGAGAGTTGTGAATGTTTAGCGGAAATCGAAAACCGCAGAAAGGATTAATTCAACTGTTAAATGTTTACGAAGGTCAAGTCACTTAAGTGGTAGTCTACGTAAAAGGGAACGTGAAATTCTTATAAAAGTTGATGCTATCCCTGAAGAAGGTTGTAATCCTACTCTAGCTGGTACTGACGCTAAGAGATGTGGAGTAAAATGTCAATAAACTAAAGGGCAGAAAAGGAACGTCTACCTCATCTCGAAGTATCAGGTATAAATTTGTCTGATACATCAATCACATCAATGAAATCAAAGACCGATGTGTTAAGTTTCTGTCATCTTATTCATACTACTCAAATTGAAGTATGCGCTGAAGATGTTGCCTAGTAGGGCAATGAAAGCTTCACAAATAAACCATCCAGGTCAGAGAACACAAACAACTACATCAAAATCATCCACCTGAGCTACAAATTTTCTTTATCATATCTTCGTACTACTCAATACATTTTGAGTAGCATGTTTATCAGCTAAATAATGAATCCCGCTTCTTCGTGAGGTGAAAATTTAAAATTATAATTATCCTTACTAAAGTTTAGGCTAACCACATATTTATTTTCAGCCTTTATGTGTATGATTGAAAGGAGAGATGTTTCCCCGCAGTCGTTTGTATGATTATCTAACAATGTACATCAACACGTTACACTATAGTGATGGGGTTTACATACTGCATAATAGTCGTGTCTACCTCAAAATAGACTTACTGTCATTCTTCATGATTTACTTTCCCCGATCTTATGGTTCCATATCTGCTATCACCTCTTGACGAATCTATCTACTACTGCCGTTTGTCGAGATAGTAATAAGTTATGTAATGAACTGTTCTATTTACAGCTTATCACTATGAAATAGTATCAAAGGTTCTTAGCAGGGGATAGGCAAATGTTTATTTTGAATTACCCGTGTTCTCTGAGTTGATTTCCTTGAGAAACTTTCGTCGTCGTCCCCCTTGTAGACAACATCTTCAGCGCAGGTTTAAGTATAAACTGAGCACATTTGAGTCTCCTGGAAACCATCTTCGTAACTGGTAGTTGATTTACATCTCTATTAATCATTTGTATTGACTTGGAAGTTGTACTTTCTTGTTATGGGGCCCCTACATGAATAGGACCAGTTGCTAGTGAGTAAGTAGCGGATTAATATTCAAGTGTTGGTTTCCAGGGATTTAATTAGTTACAGGATTTCGCCCACATAATTTACCTTCTGAAAGTTATTTTTAGCCACTCAATTTGATTGGACTGAATCATTATTATGCTCCATCTTTTGTCTGCTTGACTTTTATTGTACATATTTCACTTAAAGAATCAATATTCGTTTAAGTGTAAACAATTTTTCATTCATTATAATCTATCATTTATATAAATAATGTGTTAACATGCTCTCCTCATTGTTCTAATGCGCTTATTTATCTTCCTATATCAATATTACCTGTTTGTGTACAATAAAAACAACCTAGGTGCTTCGTAGTCAACTTACTCGTCAATCGAGACCATCCACTGTACATAAACAATCTTTGTGACCATCGACGTAAGGAATAATGAAGAAGAAGCTCTAAAAAGTCCCGCGTGTATAATAAAATTTTTTTCTGACCAAACATGGCTGTTTGTTGTTTGTGTGTGAATGTTTGTGGGCGTGCTAACACAGCTTGGTGTAATAACCTTCCGCTTCTGCTATTGCCGCTTATTTTTTTGCTATTGACAGTTTTTTTTTCCTTTATAAACTTATGCTGCACATGTATGCTGCTGTTATGACTGTTTCTTCTGAGCTTGTCTGTCTGAAAGTCACTTGTTTCCTTTTCTCATAAGGTAAATTAACTGTGTGTTTCAAGGCACAAATTACTCAGTGATGATACACCATTTAACAGTGACAGCGTTTTTCTTGCGTGTTTGCCCCTTTCATGAGTACATTCAAAGTCATGGGTTCAATTGTAATTCATCAAGTCACTTTGTTTGTTTAATCCTGTTCCTCCTGAAACTAGTTAGTGCTCATAAACTAACCATACAGTATGCCCACCTAACATTCCCAGAAGCTTATTAAATTCGGTTTTTAAAGAGAAAGAGAGGAGGTATCTATAAATTACAAGAACTGTAATGTACCATGAAGAAATTGAGTTCGCTTATCCAATTCATAAGCATAATTTTATGTACCGGAACATTGTATGCCGAATAGGATAAATCTTTCATGTATGTACTATGGAACTTTAGCCTTTCTTTCTCTCTACCTCTGTCTCTATGAGAACTTATTTAAATCCATGCAATGGGTAGATTTGTTTCCATGTATTATAGACGAAATTGACTGCTGAATCATGAAGTTCCCCTTATAATTTTTGTTGTTCAGTTCTTTTTCTTCAAAGAGTCTTGAGTCGCGAAAATAAACCCTATTCTTGAGAACTGATGTGATAACTGTACAATGGTCATCAGCGCACCAAATATGCATCTGATCCTACTTTTTCTAACTAATACTAGTTATTAGTAAGAATTTGTTGAGAAGTCAGTTGTTGGGACGAATACTTTATCAATCTCTCTGTGCTAAGAAACGTTCTTTATTGTATTTTGAGAAATGATATCTCCAAATATACTATTTGGTTCTACGAGTGAAGAAATAGGAGAAACTTTCCAAGTGTTGGTTTGTAGGGAGTTGACTGACTATAGGTTTTATCACGAGCTGGCGTCAGTTAGAGAACCATTGAAAACTCAGGGAGTAGTGGACAGCTGTTTCGTCCTAGTTGAAGATTCTTTTTCATCAGCATGCATCCACCCAAGTTCCAACCGGGATCGGTGGAAGGTGGAATTCATAAATGAATGAATCGGGTCTCAGTAGCATAAGAGGTCTACGAGCTCGCCTTGTAACCGGTAGATCCTGGGTGTGAAACTTGGGATTGAGTACTCTTGTAGAGTCTCAAACAAGGACAGAACAGTTGTCCAGTACTCCCCGGTTTTCTGGAGGCTTTCCAACTGACGTCAGCTCGTGATCAAACCTGTAAATAGGAAAAGTTGCCAGTAATACAAGCGAAATGAGACTTCTTAAGATAATGACGTAGAAATTCAAGTTTTTCTTAAAGGATATATGATCTTAAGGAAAACAGCTGTCTGTTTCCACTTGTTTTTCTACATTTTAATACACACACACTTTGAAGATATTGCTTATCACACTAAATAATGCTCCTATTGTTGTTCATCAGTGTTATTCTCCGCTGCTATTCATTTCGCTAGTCAATTTTGATGTGTTAACACATACCAAGGTATATTCAGTTTTTTGTATACATATTTTTGAACTATATTCTGCAGGACAAACAACGGTAAATGCTGTTTCTACGAAACACCACACCTTTTGTAGAAGATACACTTAGCATCACATTTGAGAATGATTTTGTCACTGTATATTTACATGCTATCAGACTGAAAACTATCAGACCACAATAACTTATCAATTTTTAACCATTCACAACTGATAATGTAGGTTTTCATTATGCCTGGCAAAGTGGGGAAGAAACGTGTTACTACCTAATAATAAGTATTGCAAACGCCTCCTTTTATGGTAGAGTTTGCTCTAAATAAGATGATCACATTTTCTATATGTAGTTGTGTTTCAAAAGGTGTACTACACGCTAAAGATCAGTCACCTGTCAGAATTGACTTGTTTGGTCATCTCAACCACCGGTGATATTTCATTTGCTAATTTGCTCATCAAATCAATCATCGTGTAATTTGTCGGTGATTTAGACATTTTGATTCAAGATACTTTCAGCTTTGATAAATTAGCAGTTCCTTCCAGTTACAGTAGTTATATTATCAGAATAAAAATAGTAATGTATGCACGTCATTCGCCTGACACTATCTTATGTGTTTAACTCAACTATGTTTTCCTCAGTTGATCGATTTTACTAAATTTTGGACCTCTGTTGACATGTTGACTTTTAGTATGGACGCTTCGACGATTTCCGACGATTAACGTGATGTTATGCAGTAGATGGTGACCATTAGTGTAATTCAAAATGCACATTTTGTCCTATCTGGGACTCATCAACTGGGCCAACCTTCAATCCCCAGTGAGTGATGATGTTCCCTTTGAAATGTGAACCCCATTACCCGTCGTTTCAAAGCATAATCCACTAGGCCATTTAGATCACGAGAGCCACCTCTCACCCAATGGGTATCGGTTATTATTTGTCGAAGTCAAGCGGTCGAGTGGATAACGCTTTGGAGTTTGAAACGATGCATCCTGGGTTCAAATTTTAATGGAAACACTATCAATCACTGGAGTTTACAGGTACATCTAGATGACGAGTCCTAGACAGGACAGTCTTAGACTCTATACTACGAGTCACCACCCATTACAAAACATTATTCCATAAGGTTCTGTTCTGTTTTTTTTTTAACTTTCTGTACACACATTTGAAACACTGTTTTTCATTTCAATGATTGGTACTGTATTTTTCTTTCCTGTTAGCATAAAATCATTCTCTGAATGTATTTCATTGGAGCAGTAATCAGAGAGAATAAAAAACCATTGTCTGCTGATTGAATAAACAGTCACTGTTTGATTTTTACTTAAAAGGGATTTTCACTGTGTTCCCAACGATATTTGTGTCATACGATAACGGGAGAAGACAGGACACTTGATGGAGGAATATTTATTGGCAATTTGACCTACACATATAGGAAAATTATGTATACCTTATATTAGAATCGTCATTTGCACAAATCTTCCGTGTTGTGCCGATTTTGTCTTTCGTATTGTGTTTCCTTTTTCTTCTTTTCGTGTTTGTTATGTTTTCACGCAGTCCTGGTCCATTTGCTCTCTTTGAGGTGAAATCTGTTTCTCCGCTATTTGATATTCTTGCGACAAGTCTCTGTATATACTATTGACAGGTCTTATCAAAAGCACACGTACACCCGTACCACCGTCAAATAGTTTTGAGGGAAGCCGCTCCAACCTTCTTGGTTCTATCTATTCTTGTTGTGCCTTGGTCCCAGCTTCCTTACGACGTTGTATCCATCTCTGGATCTGGCTGGCGTTAACGCGTTTCTGTTTGTCTCCTCTTCTGATGGTATAAACGGGACATGGTATGATCCTTCTCACTTTGGAAGGCGTTTTCGTGAACCTGACCTACATTTAAACGTGTATTTTCTTTCTCTACACTTTACATGACCACCGACCTCAAGGATTATGCATTCCATCTTTTCTCCCTGTTCATACTTTGCGGCGCACATCTTCTGTTTACGCTTTACATTCCTGATGGCTTCTTTCTGTTCTGTTCGCAGCCTTGTCATATTCTTCTTTTGGTGGAGGGGCCAAGTCTTGTTGTGTATTGGTAGTCGTGGGTTCCTCCCATACATCAACTGAAATGGTGACTTCTTTATTGTTTTCTGAGTGGAAGCGCGATAGGTTAGTAGAATCAATGAAAGCTCCATCTCCTAGTTGCCTCCCTTCCAGGTCAGCAATTCCTTCAGTGTACTATTATTTCTGCCAGCCAGACCATTCGTTTGTGTATGATATGGTTTTTTCGATTCTTCTTAATCCCTAGCTGTTGCAAAACGGAAGTGAATTCTTCATTTTGAAAACAAGGACCTTAATCTGTCAGCAGCACATGCCACAGTACATCTATCATATCCATTTACCACACCATCTCATAATTATTAAAGTGACAGTTTGTTTATCCAACTCTAATTACTATTTACTGGTTGATTATTGAACATGAAACGGCTTAATCAATACTCTTTTTCCATTATCTTGTTACTACCTAAAACTTAACAATCTATCTGCTTAAAGAAAAAAGTTTCATCTATTATTAGTCATTGTGTTATTCATCAATGGTGCATAAACTTGTCATTATCCCGCATAAGTGATGGTGCATTTATTGAGGAATGAATGATTCAAGATAAGATATACATAAGAAGCCTCTTTTGAAATTATTCTTTTCTAAAGTATATTTTCCATATTTAGACATCATTCTAAGTGAATAGTATTCATCTATTACATCATTAAATGAATTACTAAATGTATATGAGTATGTATACTTTCTACAATTTTTTTTTGTTTGGTTTTTTCTAGTTCATGAGTGCAGTAAAATCTGGTGTTGTTGTAAATTCACCATTCAAGAAAGTACTCAATCGTACACGAATTCCTGTTTACAGAAGTGGTGGTGGCGTGTAGAAAGAAAAACCAGACAGAAAAACATGCAAACAAACACAAAAAACGAATTATTCCCTCTTCTACACTCTTTTTTTGGTTTTCTTCGAAGAAGATTAATCCCCTCCCCCCTCTTATTGATGTATTTTCATTTTTTTTTAATTTCTTTTTCTTTATTGACCAACCTTCATAGTGTATTCCAGTATGTGTGGGTGTGTGCGACTGTGCTGTCTTCATATTAACGAAGATGACGTAAGAAAGTACTTTTGTTCTTTAACTAATGATTATTATTTGCATGTGTTACCAGATAGATTATGAGACAAATGGATTATTATTATTATTATTATTACTGTTGAACACTTTATTTGCATCGTTTTTGTGTTCATTTCAGCGGATTTATTATGCTTAATTGTCTGCAAATGATAGCAAACGGTGTAGGTTTGCGTTTATGCGTGACTTTTGTATTGAAGGATGAAATCAACACCCACACACACGCACGAACACATCATACTCCCCTCACATATTTTACTTTTACCAATTAGTTATATTCTCATTGGCTAATAGAATTGTAATTTCCCATTTCTATGCTTTTTATATCATTATGAACTTCCTTCTCTTTTTATTTACTTCATCTCCCAGTAGTAGCGGTAGTAGTAATCGTCACTTTCATCGTTTCAGCTGCTTGTTGTTGCTGTTGAAGTGTATTGCTCACTGCCTCTTTTGCGTACGTACGCCACCAAGTCAATAGTACTTCTACGATAAACATATACAACTGTTTTATGTTGACTAAGGAAAATGTCTTTTTTTTAGAGATTTTGTTTTACTCCTTTTATGAAATATTATTATTATTACTTTCTTCGGTTTAAGTACTATTTTGTTTTTGAAGGAAAGATACCTTTGGTAACTTTCTTCTAGTTGTGTATATATAATATATACATGTGAGTCTATATATATGCATATATATACTCATTATAGAATTAATAAATTTCGATAACTTTCCCGCATATTAATTGAAAGCTTGTCTTGTAATGTCGTGTCAAGCGCAGGGTTATTCATAGAAAGCGTGTAGAACTCTATACTACTGATTGATTGAGATGAGGAGTAGTTGTATACCATTCACATCAACCAGTAGGGTCTACGAGCCAGCTTGAAGTGGTCTAAACACAGAACTGTCGTTTCACTTGTTTACGGGCGAGCTCATCAGTTGTGTATCAGGTTCGACTTAGTTCAAAGAGCCGAATCAGCTTGAACCACCCTATTTCTAGCCTGTTACTTGGAGGAACTGGCATATATTGAGTTAAATTTGGAATTTGCAAATTGAAAGGCATTTTGAGAAGGTAAAATTTCATCACAGTTTCCTTTGGAAACTAAAACTGTTCAGACCGCAATATGTGATCTGCTTGATACCGCAAAAGTGGTAATCAGGAAAGCAAGCATAAATGCGTAGAACTATATACTACTGATTGAATTTGATGAGTAGTTGCATATCACTCACGGGTGAACCTCTGATGAGGTCGGCAGGAAACCAGAGAAATTCTCGTCCTGTGTTTAGATCACCTGGCTAGCAAGCACTGCCGGATGATATGAGTGGTATTCAACTACTCGTCCCGGTCAATCAACAGTATATACTGTTATGCAAATATGTTTGATTTCTTGATCACCATTTATATGGTATCAAAGTGGATCATATACTCTGATCTGAATAATTCGGTTTCCGAAGGAGACTATGGTGAAATTCCGCACTTCGAATTGTGTGCGTCGCAAATTGTGAATTTGATTTATTCGTAGAAGTCTTTCTTTGAGCTTGTCAGCTTGATAGTTCGTCCCACAGAATTCTATCTGTTGATACTCGTTGTTCGCAGAGGTATCTTATCCCAAGATATCATATTTCTCAACAACTTGGAATGAATAACCCGCTTACATCGAAAATGAACAAAGATCAAATCACGTCAAGACAATCAAACTTTGCAGGAAGAGATTATTTAGTGTTGGATGTTCTAAGGAATTTCAGGAATTAATTTATTTAAAGTTTAGTTGTTTGTTAAAAGCTATAAGACTCTGTATAGGAAATATAACAAAAGATACCAGCACGCTTTGTCATCCCTAAGCTTTCAACTAAGTTTTGATCAGAAGATCAATACGAAAGTGAAGGCGATTTGAAATGTAATTTAGTTGGAGGATTTCATCATGAGCTGACATCGGTTAGAGAACCATTGGAAAACCTGGGAGTACCGCACAGCTGTTTTGTCCCAGTTTGGGACTCCCCAGTGTGCACCCACCGAGGTTCGAACCCAGGACCTTCTGGTTACAAGGCGAGCTCGCAAACCATAAAGTCACTGGGACCCGACCCAATGGCCATCCCGTGAATTCTATTTTCTGACAATTCATGACATAATGTGACCACTTCACAATGTCTTCTTTGGTGAGTTACTGCCTCACCTTCAACCTGCTTTACCCTACTGGTCACGGCTTCCCACTAGAACCCCAGGTTAACTGCCTGAATAGAATTGATCTCAGCTCATGATGAAATTCTCCAACCAATTAAACAAAATTGCCTACAAAAGCAATACTTGAAAATATAATTTAATTGACTCTAGAATGTTATAAAGTGTATCGGTGGTTCAGTGTTAGAATGCTTACCAGTAACGAGAATGGTCCGCGTTCGATTCTCAAACCTCGGATAACGGGTAACAGGTCCTGAAAGAGGGGAGGTTGAGCGTTAGGCTTATTAACCCTAACCCTGTGGAAAAAAGACACCGATGCAATTGAGACTTCAAAGTTTCAAGCCTTATGTTCCTCTTGGAACTCAGTGGAATTAAAAAGAATATTCACTTCCATTAAAGAATGTATTAACTAAAGAGTGATGAAACCAGTAACAAGTGAATTTGTTCATCTTTTAAAGATTTGAAGTAGAGAAAGTAAAAAGAGGTATCAACTTTCAAATACATACATCTTGATAAGTATGTAATTCATACAGCTTACAGGTTATCATATTCAAATGAAAGTGTTCAACGTGGTCATTGTATTGGCTTACTACTTTGAGACTACTGAAGTTAATTCACATTGATACTATTTAAATAGACTCTCAGATAAATTATATCATTTTATACTTCCAAACGATTTTTGCTTTGTCTACTGAAGTTTAAATTGAAGAGTGGTAAGATGCTCGCCAGTCGCGACAGACATCCAGGCATTCGTCAATAAGCACGAAGCCTAGGTCCAAACCTTCCTGCTGATTGCCTTCAACCATCTAATAACAACACTTCTCAGTTATATTATTTCGTTTTTAAAGGGTTTTATAATCTATAATGACCAGTCGCCCACTTAAGAACATTCATTTAACAACAACAATTCAGAGTGCTGCGTGCTGGCGAGACAACTAGCACGGTTGCCATATTGCCAACTTGATTGAAAGAATTCAGTCTGAACCAAACAAATGACACCAGTGACTTACAGCCTAGTTTTCAGTCGAAGCTGAGAAGTGTTCAAATGAGATGTTATTGTATTATATTAGTCTCCAGCTAAGAGTACTTGTTTTGTTCCATCAAAAAGTCCATCGAAGCAAGATTAGGAAAAACCAATAAGTTATTCTAGTGGACATTTTCGAAGTAGTATTGTAAGTGATTGTCTCTTTTTATTACTACTGAATAGCTGTTTGTCCGCATATTCAAAATTTTCACCCACAGCTATAAACGTTGACTGACTACAGGTCTTACTATATGTAGTGAAAAGTGGCTTAGGAGTATTTCCGACGAGGCCTGTCTATTAACTAGAATGGAATCCATTGTAAGTACCTAATCACTCATCCAGTTTGTTTTTCAGAACTTTAAGACACTGCTATTAAGAGTTATGGAACTAAGTGATATATCACTGATTAAAGTTATCTGATGAGAATAGTTGATCCTCACCCATTATCTATCTATGCATCCATCAGAAAATGTCTTGCCTATAACACTGATGTTCATTTATGGTCAAACTGTCTTTTAGCTTCTTATCAAATATTCGTTGTAACTAGAAGGAAAATCGACTACCCTGCTAAATATTTCGCTTGGATGGTAGATAGTTAAGGGAGATGAAACTATTATAACGCTTAGAAATGCAGTGTGATAATGTCCATTCTATTGTTTGGTTGTTAAAAATATAAAAGATAACAAATAACCTGGGATCTGGTCACACCAGTCGCAGTATGTTTGAACTTGATTATTTCTCTTTTGATTACAGCTGTTCCGTCATAGCTTGAGACTCCTCACAGTACGCACCCACCGCCAGGGTTCGATACCGGGACCTTCTGGTTACAAGGCGAGCTCGTAAACCGTTAAGCCACTGCCACCGGGACCCGATCCAATGACCAGTCCATGAATTCCAACTTCTGCCAATTCACGATATAGCGCGACCTCTAGTCAATGTCTTTTGGTTTATAACCTTCCGACTACTTGAAATCTTCATTTAAGGAATCGAACAGTTTAGCAGAAGCTGAGAAACATATTTTAAATGACGTCAGCTAAGTTTCCAATTACTTTATCTACAAGAATGGCATCTAGGGCAAACTGTGCTACTTGGTCTGGTTGAGAAAACTGACCGAACGTGTAATACTAGCCTACTAGTGAAAAATTAAACAGCGTAAATGCGTTAAATTCATGAAATGCACTGAAAATGACATGGATAGAAGTCCTGTATGTTTATTTTAGTCATTTTTAGCCTGGAAAATCGCAGGCATTTTCTCTGAATGTTTTCTTGTTATCAACCGACCTTTTTAGCCTAGAATGGATACCAAACCGAAATATTTAGGTTACTTTATATCGGTACTTGCGGGTTAAGTTAGACATTGACTGTGTCTTACTACCACAGTAATGGTCTTTTAAACAGATGTGTTTGATTCTCTGAAGTTCACCTTCTACGGCACCAAAATAACCTCAAGGCTAAAATTAGTAGATCGAGCAGAATTAACTTAACATTAACTTCTTCATTGATTGGAATGCCTTCATTTTTGCATATCAAGTTCTACTATAGGTGCATTTTTATTATTTCATAATCGTGGTATGTTATTATTTTTACACATAGAACTTGTCCTACAAAAGCTGATACTTACTCACCTACGCAAATGCCAGTTACACTGCTGCTGCGCGCCTTCTAAGCACATCGACCGCTTTCATGGTTCTGGCATGTCGAAGCCCCCTTCGTCCTGTGCCTCGTTTACTCAAAAAAAACTAAGGCTTACTTAGTCACTGTGAGTCTTTTAGAAAACATTATGGAAGATGTTCCAGGTATTTCTGACGAATCCGCGTCTAACCTATACGATAGTTTAAAGGCGGCTCTTATCAAGAGAGTGGTGCTTACTGACCAACAAGAGTTTCAAGGGCTCTTGAGAGATACGTGACTTGGAATCCGTAAGCCTACACTAATGCTTTGTTAGACTTCAAAACCAACGAAACCTTCCTGAAACAACCGTGGTTGCCACAGACGGTACAAGGTGTTTTTGTACCCCTTTAAAATTCCCTCTTAATGAAGTTATCAGAGCAGCTGACAGAGCTGTCAGACAATTCATGGGTGTTTTCACCAAATTGTCTACTAACACTTAGTTTCAGGAATACCTCCTTTCAGCCAGTGAGTAGTCGAGATTCCATGCCTCACGGATTTGCAAAGAACTGTATAATCTCAGGAAAGATCATGGAACCAGGAGTCCTTTCCAAAATCATGTGATTTGTTACTGCAACAAGTCCTCCTCGAGTTTCGGAAAAAGGCGACAGAAGTTGAGAAACTCTCATCCACCTACAACAGAAGAGAATCTTCGGCCAACGTCTTGCGAATTAAACGACGTCAGTGGATAACATATCACAGCTTATGGCAGAAGCTCATTAGAACTTAGTATCGAACCTTAACCTTCTTTTATCCGGGTTTTCATTTCTGGTCGATGCGGCCACCGTCATTATTGGTGTGGACCTCTTCCCAGCACTACCAGTTGCTGCGAAATGTTTGTGAGCATAAGCAAATCCTGCCAAGCAACACTCTA